TTTTTTTTTTTCGGAAGTTGACAATTCTTGTGGTTGGAGGAAAATTGCTTAGAGAAAGTTCATTGTTATTTATAATTTCTTTTAGCCTCACTTCTATCTGCTTTTTATTCTGATGCACATGGCTGTTAGACTTCATCTTAAAATAGCAGCATTACAAAAAAGCATATGCCTTTCTATATTTTTTTATTTTTATGAAGGAATAGTTCTTAATTTCTTTTTTATTGCAAGGAAAGATCTCAGGAAATTATGTTTTAGGGCACTGAGTAGGTGCCAGGATGTGAAGAAAGCTTTTTTGTTTGATGGTTTTTGCAAACTTATCAATGTGATGAAACTCAGTAAACTTTATTTGTGAAGTAGTATATCTTAGCAGAGTAATTATTTTTAAGGTCATCTTTTTTGTCTTCTGAGAGGGTTATCTGAGTCTATTATTCACTCAGTTTGAGAAGCGATGTGAAATAGAAGATGAGGAAAATATGCATTTTAGCGCAACGGGCGCTTAATTAGGTAATTTTGTAATGCTACTTGAAATTAAGGTACATTCATTTAAAAATGTACTAAATCCTGGTCTTTGCTTAAAATGCTAAATCTTTTTGAGCAAAATACATCGTTTTAATGCTTTATTTTATACTGTTTGGTAAACTGTCGTATGTATACCGGTTCTCTTGGATGTGTTGCGAAGTGTTTGCAACCGAATCACTTTTTTCACTTCTTTTCAGGAAAAAAGATTCTTTGAAAGTTCATCAAAGCCGCGTTCACCACCTGGATGAGGATGGAAAGTTAATAGAAACTTTGGATTTCTCCTGCAACAGCTGTAGTCGCAGTTTTGGAACCGTTTTAGAGCTAAGGGTACTTTTTTCTTTTGAAATCATCTCAGCGGGTTTTCAGATTCTCCTTACTCGAGGCGTTAAATAGAACTATAAGGCGCCCTAATTTGTTTATGAAACTACTGCGTTGGTTTACGGTTGTACTTTGGTGAATAATGTAGATGTTTTAGAGGCATAAATACATATGCATGAAGAATAAGCAGTCATCTAGTGGTGCAGCTAAAAGTGAATCGATGAGTGTGGTTAGTGATAATACCTCACAACCAAGCCGTAGTGTCCCTTCTTCTCCTCAAAGGCCTTTAATAAGTTAGAATTTATAATTCACTACGCTGTAATGGTTTTTTGCGAGATTATTTATCATTCAGTTTTGTAAAGGTTAAATAAAGAGAATAGTGTTCTAGGCAAAGTTTGTCTTGTTTGTCAAAACAAGTTTGCCAGTGCTCAGTCTTTGATCCGCCACATCGGAAGAAAACATCCGAGTGAACAGTACGTAAGAAGGTACGAGGTTCTTCCTGCAGCAAGCACGGTAATCGTTTTAGCTTCATTTTTGGGTTACCGAAAAGTAATTTTTTTAAATTTTAGTCTTTATTACTCTGCTTAAAACACTTGTACTGGAAGTTTTCAACTTTTTATTTTTAATTTCAGTTTTTATTTAGACGGAAAGTATTTTTTGAGATTCAAGCTTAATACCGTTACGCTCTGCAAGAAAATCACTAAGCCCGCCACTTTTGGATGTTACTCTTTTTCCTTTTTAGCCGAACCTTCCTTTCGCATGCATAGAATGTCAGAAACGCTTTGCGACGGCATCAGCGTTATCGCTGCATAAAAGGCGTCATTCGGGTAACTTTCCTTATCACTGCTCTATTTGCGGTCGTAAATATCCTATTGCAAGCGAACTGCGTAAACATGTTCGTCGAAGTCACATGAAAAATAAATGTAATTATTTCATTATATTCCCTTATTTTTATAAACTTTGTAGTATTATGAAAAGTGTTATTGGATTAATCCTCATACAGTTCTTGCCTACTACATAACAATTAGAGTTCATTATTTTGCTTTATAGGTTCATCTGGAGTCGATCCGGACAACTTAGCCGAAGGAATAAAGGCTTATACAGGCTCTGTTTCTCCTGAAGAGGCAGAAGCAAATGTAAATTTAGAATCAGGGAGATTTCGAAGTGAGGATGATTTGTCAACTTTTGAGCTGTGATTTTATGTCAGAAAGGAAGTGATGTACTTCCCGTTTTATCCTCCAAAAATTTGCGAGGAATAAAATGCGTTAAATTTGTTTGTATATCTTTGTTTCTGGACTTTTGCTTACTGGTAAGCAAATGTTATATGTTATACTCGATCAATGTTTGAAGGATTTTTACCTCAAACCGTATTTAATTTATTAATTTTATTTATTGAAATGTATATAGGTCGTTTTTTGATCTGTTCTTTATTGTTAAGGTTGTGAGCTCTGTTTGATGACAGAGGGAAACAGAAGTTAGTTTGATATAAGAAGCAAAATCTGTTGATGAAATGACCTAATGCAGAAGTAAAGTGTACCGAATATAGTGAATAAATTCTGAAAGTTTTTGTCGGCTGTTCGATTTCTGTGCTTATTCTGAAGACGGTTTAATCCTCTGAAAAAGTATTTTTTGGGGTATTTTGTCATTCTGTATGCTATAGTTTTAAATGCACTAAACGTTTTTTGAGTTATGTTCACTGATGTTAACTGGTTGGTAAGTTTGGGGGTTTACTATTTAGTGGCAGTTGTAAAGCCGAATCACCTCACCGTGCTTTATTTGCGTCATAGTTGTTGAATTACTGAAGTTTGAGGTTGCGTACTTGTAAATAGCTCGCTAGTGATGTGGATGTTTTAACAAACGGGGTAGATTACATTTGTGGGTACAATTTTAGTTCCAGTTGTGTACAATCTGGCTGCATCTTCAACTGAAGTTTTGCAGGAGTTAATTGGGTTGGGAATGGCCGCTGATTTAAAATGGCTAGGATTGTCTGAATCAAAGGTAAATGAAACACTTAAAAATTCTTCTTTGACGAAGCAGCTTTGTGGCATTGTAGTCCTAGCGAGAGAAGCTTTGAGAGAGAAAGGAGAGGATACTCTATCAGGAAAGGGAACGGTAATAGTTGCATTTTAAAGGTCGTAGCAGTCGAGTTTCTGGGGCTGCTAATTCTACATTTTCTTGGCTCCATAATTAATAAGTTTAGGGCTCATTGTTATATCATTTGGGTTCAAGAATTAAATCGCAATGTGAAGCATCTGTACCTTTAGTCGTGCGGCATATTATTAATGGGAACATTAGGAACGAGCCGCAGCTTAGTGCGGCAATCGACTTCCTTTTAGCACGGTCTGTTACTGGTTACGAAGAGGATGAATTTTTGCAAGCTTGCGGTGCTGGCATCGTTATAACTTCGGAACAGATTGAGGAACAGGTTCCTGATTCACTAATAGTGTCGATTATTTTACTCAAGTAACTTCGTTCACAAGTGTGAAAATGTCTTCTGTTTTTCAAAGGTAGCTGAAACAATCGCGAAATACAGAAATCAAATAATCGCGGAACGTTACCGGTTTAATATAGGCCGTCTCCTTGGTGAATTTCTTTTTATTTGTTTTATTCTTAAGTCTTTTGGCTTTTTAGGGACTTCAAAGTTATTCTTCATTTTTTTTTCTTTGCTGTTAATATAGTTATTAAACCATCAAGGGGATGTCAAGTCTGCTTTAATGTGGGCTGATGGAGCAGCGATTAAGCGTGAGGTAGACCTTAGAATTATGTTGCTACTGGGTCCAAAAACAGAAGCTGATTGGGCATCTCCGAAAAAGAAGGTTGCGCGACTTCAGTCGGAAAAACCTCTAAAAAATACGCCGGTAAAGGTTGAATTGAAGAAAGGTTTATATTTTGCCTCACATAATTTTTTAAATTTATCATCACTTATGTTCTGAGGCGTTTAAACTTCTCTGTCGGATAAGTCCGGGAAAAGGAAAGAAGGCTCAAATTCTTTTTAGGGCAATAATTGAATACACTTTAACCAAAATTTTTTGGGTCATAATTCTTCTCAATTTCGCTTTCTTTATCTTTCAGAAGAAGGAGCCAAAACTATTGGAGAGTTAATGCTGAATAAAACCCATTTTCACAAGGTACTTTGACCGTTGCACCTTCGCAGTTTTTAAGCTGCTGTTTGCTGGTACTAGTAACTTTTAATAATATGATTTATTTAAATTGAAGACAAGTATATCTTTAATTAAATGGGTTGTTAATTTGCAGGTTGGCGAGAACTTTAAAACTGAAGGGTATGTAGTCACCCCACACACCATGGAGTTACTGAAAGAGCATATCGCTGCTGTAGGTGGGCGGGTATGCTAATTTAATGGGCTTTCTTATACTGAGTTCTTAGCTATGATTAATACATTGTACGTTTCATAGGTTGTAACAAGGTTTCCTCCGGAACCTAATGGCATTCTACACATTGGTCACGCAAAGGCAATCAATATAAATTTTGGTTATGCAAAGGTAACCTTTATAGTCGTTTATTTCGTAGCTTTTTGCATGATTTTTTCATTAATTTAGTCGTTTTGAAAATTGAACATTAATTTCTCTTCAGGCGTTTGGTGGGATTTGTTATCTTCGTTTTGATGATACTAATCCAGAAAAAGAGGAGGAAAAATTCTTTAAAGGGATTCTCGATATAGTTGAGTGGCTTGGTTAGTCTTCAACGAGTATTTGCCTTTGCTGTTGATTTGTCTTGTCTTTTCGCGAACATCGATGCTGTGGTCCTCCATGTGAATTGAGTTTTTGTTGTAATCGTTCATTTTTAAGGTTATAAACCGTATCGGATCACACACTCATCTGACTACTTTGATCAGTTGTATCTGTGGGCTATCGAATTAATAAAAAGAGGTTTTGCATATGTCTGCCACCAAACAGTTGAAGAAATGAGGGGAATTGATGTTAAACCGTCTCCTTGGAGGAACCGCCCTGTTGAGGAATCGCTATTCCTTTTTGAGGTTTCCTGTTTTTCTATCATCCTGGAGTGCCGGTTTTGTATGCTTACGTTTGGAGGGTGTTTTCAAAAATATTTGGATGCAGAAAATGCTGAAGTAATAGAGTTTCAGAAGATGCGGCGTGGCATGTTTGAAGAAGGGGCTGCTACATTACGGTTAAAAACTGTTTTAGAGGAAGGAAAAGTTGATCCAGTAGCCTATAGGATTAAATATTGTGCCCATCATAGAACTGGAAATAAATGGTTTATAAACGTTTTTAATGTTCGAAAATGAGGAAACAGTTCTTTTAGATTTGCAGTGTACCAACGGTTTGTTCATCATGTGACACTTATCGGTAACAGATCTTCAGATTTAAGGTGTATATATCCGACTTACGATTTCACTCACTGCCTTTGCGACTCGATAGAGAATATTACTCATTCTTTGTGTACAAAGGAATTTCAATCAAGGTAACATTTGAGAAATCGTTCACTTTTTCATATATGACTTTTTTTATAAAATATGGTTTTCTCTTTTTAACTTATGTTTGGTTTTAATTTTTGGGTTTTTCTGTCAGATAAACTTTTGGCTATTTTTTCTGGGGTATACCAGCAAAGGATTTCATAATTGAAAGAATTTAGACGAAGCAGTTATTACTGGTTGTGCAACGCCTTGGATATATATTGTCCTGTACAGTGGGAGTATGGAAGATTGAATATGTATTATACAGTGGTTTCAAAAAGAAGGATCAAAGCTTTGATTCAGAATAATATTGTGAGGTCAGCGTTCGTACCTACTGCTTTTATTTACATTATTGTATAAATCAACTATAGGTGGTCAGGTTTGCGTCATTTACAAACTTTACATCAAAGATAACTGGTTCTTTGAAACGACTTACTAAAGTGAAACTGACGTTAGCTTAAAGCACATGATACTAAGTCTGTTAGCGCTAAACGGGGTATACTCCGTACCAAGACCGTTTACACTGACTGCTTTTCAGCTAAGGGTAAGCAATGTCGTCTCACCGTCGGTAGGTTAGGTAGTGAGCTTGTGCGGTCTTGAGATTTATTTTAGAAACAACTTTGTCAATTTTAGTGAAGAGTAGATATTTTATAAGGATTTCTGGAATGTGAGCTTCCGGCATGGCGTACATTGGTTGTGACATGGACTGGAAGTATTCCTAGGTTTTTCCTCTGGGGAAAAAGTGATAACAAGGCTTTTATTTATTACTTTTTCACGACAGGGGCGGGAACACTGATAGCGTAGGGAAGTTTTTTGTTGTTTTTAGACGACGTTCCGCATACAATAACTATTTAGGACAAGGAATTGAGGAACTTTAAGAATTATTTTTTCAACGTAAAAAAATCCAGTTTTGTTGATAATAAAAGTGTTTGCGTTGGTCTTTGAAGACTCCATACTCCTGTCTTCGATAAAGATAGGGCCTTCAAGGACGTGCTTTTGTGTCAAAATTTTAGGAGTGATGGATGTATTAATTATGTTGAGAGAGTATTTTTGTCATTACTTCAAGGAGATTTATGAAGACCTAAAATTGTGTTTTTGATTGTTCTAACTTACTTGTTTCAGGTCCGTAAGTGAGATTTTTATTGAGTTTTTAAAAGCGTAAGGTCTGATATTTATTATCTTTCCCTTATTGTCTTTCCCCGGTTCATGATTAAAAAAGAAGTATTTTCAGTGATTGGGATGATCCACGTCTGTTTACACTAACTGCTCTTCGCCGAAGGGGTATTCCAGCTGCAGCAATCAATAACTTTATTGCTGGTCTTGGTGTTACCATGGCTCAGATGTTCGTTGACCCTCACATGCTGGATGCAGCCGCTCGTGATTATCTTAATCAGAGTGCGCCAAGGTTGTCATTAATTGGATTTGTACTGAATTAGGCATATTTTTCACGTAGCATGTTTTTAAAAATGTTAAAAATGTTTAGCCAGCATTAGCTAACAATGGACAACGTTACTGCTGAGCACTAGATCTTGTAATTACCTACAGGAATCGACAAGTTTTGACATAAAACTCTCCAAAAGAAATTTTAATGTTTTCAGCACTTTCAGTATTTCTCTAGCGGTGGCGGGGTTGGGTTGAGTAACTGTATCTTCCAAGGAAGGAACCTTTTATGGACGTAGCCCATGGTAACCTGATTTTCCAGTAATGCTTTTAGAGGAACTCTTCGCAAACGACTTATAATAGCTAGTTGTGATATAAGCTTTGAGTAAGAGATTGATGCTGTTGTCTTTTCGCTTCTTCCCCTCGAAATTTTTAGCCTTCTTTGACAACTGTTTAATCACACACTTTCCTACGTGCTAAAAGTCCTCTTTATGTCGTCGCTCCCTCACTCGATCTTGAATTTTGGGATCTAATTATGCACAATATTCAGGTCTTTAAAAAACTGACGACTTTATTAAGTGACTAACACAGCTGCATAGTAGGTCCATTGTTAGTGCTAAATTAGTCTTCAACATGCTTTTTTGAATGTTTGACCTTTTTTATGTGAGTATATGCGAAATGGAAGAAAATTGTTGAACAGATAGTACTTTTTTTCAGTAGCAAGTTTCACATTTGAACTCTCCCTGCAACCACCTATATATTTTAAACTCTGTAGTATGTTGATCATGTGCTTCACACACTCGGCAATTGACTTCGGTTTCACCGAAGGTATAACTGAGGGGATGAGTGATTTTGCAGATGAGTCAAATTAGGGATGTTTCCCAAAGCTGACTTGAGATTGATTTACAGTTTCTTGTTTCGTGAAACACAAACTCGTGTTTAGCGAGATTACTAGTTGAAAAATGCTATCTTTCACAACTCCAAAAGAAACTTCTCAGGGTAGTGAGATTTGTCGACCAGCTCAACGAAAAGAAATTTTTGTTATCCTTTCCAAGGTCTCCAAATCCTTGAATAAAATACCTTTTCAAGGACAATGGCCGTGTTAAATCCACTGAAGGTAACTATTGAAAATTATGATGAAATGCGGCTCCCAAATTCTGTTTCTGTGCCTGACTTTCCACCTGAAATCAAAATGGACAGCAACCACAATGTCGCATTCGACAGGGTTATTTTCATTGAAAAGGACGACTACAGAAGGGTAATGCATTCAAGCTTGCTCGACTGCGCATCGCTTTATTGCCATATTTTTATATTCAACTTTAACTGGTCGTTATTTACCGTAGGTTTGGCGCACTTTTCTTTTACGCTATAAGACTACTCAGGATATTTAGGAGGGTGAAAAAGGTTACAGAAGGCTGACTCCGAAACAGCCAGTGGGCTTGAAACATCTTGGTGTTGTACTTTCATATGTCCGAGAAATACAGGTTTGAGTTTATAGCGTCTTCAGGATCAGATAGTCTTTACAACCTTACTGCTGCTTTAATGCCTGTGGCTGAAGCCGTTATTCGCGGCAAGTATTATTTCTTATATTCACAAAACAGTTGTTTACTTCAGGACAGCAAAAAACGGACATCTGAGCTCATTGTACGTGCTGCGAAGTTAACTGCAGAAACAAAGCCAAAGGCGTTTATCCATTGGGTTGCGAAACCGTTAGCTTGCGAAGTCCGTCTCTACGATAAATTGTATGGTTGATTTACATCTGTTTTCCAAAAATGCACACAGTTTTTTCTTTGTAGTCTTTTAACGTGGTTTATTGGAGATGTAGCATTGTTCGCAATTTAAGGTTTATGCACCAGAATCCTGAGGACTCGAGCGTTGTCCCTGGCGGTTTTCTGACAGATTGCAACCGGGTACTTATTAAATTGAATGTCCTCTGCCAACCAGGATTCAAAATTGGCTTTCTCTATCTGCCTAGGATCACATGTTTTACACTTTTTTTATACTTCAGGACTCGCTGAAAGTGATACAGTCGGCTTTAATAGATGTGTCGATTGCTAGCTCAAAAGTTTTTGACAGTTTCCAGTTTGAACGGCTAGGCTTCTTCACCGTCGATAGAGACAGTACATCTTCAAAGGTGCTACTAAGTTTCAATTGCCTTTTCGGCTGCAGTCCTTTTTTAAACTACCGGTCTTTAAAAATGTTTTTGTTACCGCTCAGTCCTTTCAAAACAGCACATTCCTTCTTTTACAGCTCGTCTTCAATCGTACTGTAGGTCTAAAAGAGGATTCGGGAAAAAGCTGACTGGAACCGGCTTGAAGGATGCGCTCAGTTATCAGTCCTGCTAATCTCCCTTGTTGTTTTCTTCTGGGGAAGATTTTGTTATGGGAGATAAAAACATTGAAAATTGCAAGAAATAAATGTGACTAACTGGAGAATTCGACACGGCTTCAGGGCGCTTGGAGTAGACTCAAATCTCAAATGAGCACACTCTTCGGGATTTTAAAGGAGGCGAAAAGCTTGACTACTCGCATTCCAGCGAAAGAGGTCCTGCATTAATATTGGGAAGTATAAAAGCAAGCTCCATTCTTTTTAAAGAAAGCATAAAAAAACAGGGCTGTCACACTACATGAGAATTGCTACCGCAAGTACTGTTGGAAATCATTTTATTAACAAAATCAACAACAAATTTAGGACACTTAACGTATCTATACATTTTCCATTTAGCAGCTTACAAGTTCACACACAAGTTAGTTGCGTCTCTGCAACTAAGCAGTACCAAAGAAATAGATGCTGAAGAGGTAGTCGTCCCCACCACAGCTAGCCTTGAATTGAGATTACGAAAGCTTACCTAAATTACATGGCACGCGCCAGTTCAATTGAGGGGTTCCTTTCATATGACGGCTGACAGGAAGCACCAGCACAAAGTAGCTGGCGCATGGAAGGCGTAGGAAAGTCCTCTAAACCCCGTGCAAACATGAGTCACAATTTTACCCCGACATGTCCGACCGCTCGTGTTAAGCAAAGAGCAGGAATTGAAAGAAAAAGACTAGCTGAACAAGTGGAACTGAATTAACCCAACGTAAATGTACAAGACGATACGATTAAAATATAAGCAAATTATACAACATGAGAATCTCAGTAAAATCCTGGGCAGTGGGCTCACAGAAAAAAATATAAAAATTAAAACAGAAATTCATTAGTTCATGCACGGTACGCAGTTTTTTTTTTTTAAAGCAGAAAAATGAATAAAAACCTTTGAGCTTTTTTCATGGGAGAAAGAAAACACTGATGTGAACAACAACTGGCGGAACTGGTTTCGGAGGATACGCAAGCAGTAAGCTCTAGCACAAATTTTACCTGCACACAGTGCACCCGTATGAATAACTTACTACTGATTGACCATTATGGAAAAATAATTACGACTCATTTGCTAACGTAGCTGCATCCTCGTTTAAAAGAGTCTCAGGTAAGGGTTCGGCTGGGACATCTGTGTCCTCGCCCTCCGACGACTCTTTCGTTGTTTGCAGAACAGGTTCTTCCGCCGTTTCCTCGTCATCGTCCACAGAATCCAAAGAGAGAAGCATATTCCGAAACTAAAAGAAAATTACCAAGTTATTAAATTGAGAAACTTGGGATCAGGAGTTGATATTTAATGCAACCTCTACAGTGAAAAGGGGAAAAGGGAAGCAAGAAGATGCCAAAACTCATGGTTTTTGTAAACCTAGAGAAGAATCAATGAATGCCAATCACTGCAGACAGAAAACGCATATCTACACATCAAGTGCAAAGAAACCTTCATAGGATCGCAAGAATTTGCTGAAATACTTTCTCTATGTGACTAACGTAAACTGAATTTGTTTGGCAGAAGTCACTGTCTCTAATAGACTAGTCACTTTGAGCAGTAGTAAGGAAGTTAGACAGGCATAAAAGGAGTATCTGCAGAAATCTTTTATTAAAACTGCAAAGGCTACGCGCATATAGGGGGTAGCAAAGTCAAGCCTCTGTCAAAAAGATGACTACAAACCCATCAAATTTAAAAAACACTTCTCTAGTGAAAAAAACTTCATGGTGAGGCATGCTTCAAACGAGGGAAAGAACAATAACGTACTATAACTATTTGGTTGGCCATATTAATTTGCCCTTTCACAGTCTCCCGCTCCGTTGCACTCTCTGGCTTCAACTCCTCTAGGGCAGTTTGTGGGTAGAAAATGGTGATGTTTTTGCGGCTGCTGAGTGCTTTTTCGTACACTTTTGCTGCTTCTGATGGACTGTACTCTTGAACTTTCCTAAACATTACAATTTATTAATTGATTCATCTAAAAGGAGTGTAGCGACTGGTAAATGTTAAATTTTATATTAAATTTTGTACGTACGCATCACTGAAGCCATATAACTTCATAAGAAAGTTTTTGAGATAAAGAAGAAGAAAGCAAGCTTGGCTGTTCTTCATGCACTCGTACAGAAGTGTTTTGTCTTCAGGAAACCGTCCTGAAAAGAAATTAATAAATCTTTTGGAAAAGTGAGGTGATACGATATAAAATACTAAAGGAGAAATGATTTGCTATGAAGGGAAGTAAGGATGCCTCATCCAAAATAAGTTAGGAGATAGTGAGCTAACTGTATATTAATTCAGGATTGAATATCGCATCGTCATCCTGCCCCACACCAGTTGGAAGGGGCAGCAATTGAGACTTGAAACTGTTTATGATATTCTGGCCACTGATGGAGACAATTGACTCAATCTGCCTTATAACATACAATGGTTCGTCCATGACTTGATATGGAAACATTGCAATATTATCAGCTAGGAAAATCCATTCCTCCAAACTCAGCTTCTGCAAAAAAACAAAGTTCGCACAAAAGAAATGAGCTTCAGAATTTCACAATCAAACAGTAAGCAAATAAGCCTAAAGTAATTGCCAATTGAGTTATCTTGGAACTACAGTAGTAGTTAGACAAATACTAAACTGTTAGACATTACCTCCCTACAATCTTCAGAAAACAGTCTCAAAACAGATGAAAGAAAGCTTCTTCTCTGTTGCCTGTTACTTCGTAACCCCTGATAAAGACCGCTAAGTATCGCCTGACCATCGTTCGTCATCTTTGGTAATCCATCTTGCAGTTTAATCTTGCCAGCTGAAATACCTAGGTTCTCACCAAATTCAAAAAACGCACCAATTAAGCAAACAGTGTAAGATGACTCAACCAGAATAGTTTTTTTTTTTGCAATGCAAGGGACATTTCACATACCTTACCCTTAAACAATGCAAAACCGATACTAAAGTTATAGTACCTCCAGGAGGCTGTTCAACAGCCCTGATCCCGCGCAATGACATGCTAGGTTCTTTTTTTAGCAGTTTCTGTAAACGAAATGAGCATCTGATGCCAGGGATCGCTTTGCTCTGAAAATCCATCATCGTGACGTAGAATGGTGTGAGGAAAACATTATTTACTCAAGCAGCTGATTGTTTTTAAAAGTTTAAATCATGGAAATCACATTCAAAAGCCCTACCGGAACCATGCCTGAATATTTTGCATCAATGTTCCTTAAAACATTATCGACTTTGTTGCGCAGTGCAGGAATGGAATCAGTGGTCATAGCTATCAAAGTTGGGATTGACGATCCAGGAGTGACAAGTCCTTGATTCAGAGTCAGCATTGTCACCTAAAAGAACTAGAGCCGTGCGAGAAAACAATTAGAAGAAAAACTTACAAAAAAAACTTTAGAAGAACAACTTTAAGAAGCAAAAGTTAATATTGAAAGTTAATTAAAATAAAGAAATAGCCAAAAAAAACCCATCCATAAAAATGAAAAATTTCAAGAGAAGAAGCACAATATTTTCATTTTCCACAGATCTCTTAAAACTATGTAAGCCATACCTGGACAGCTGCAGTACGAACGGTGTCGTAAGGGCTGTAATAAGATGTTAGAACAGCATTCCAATATACTTGAATAATTGTTGACGCAAGACCCGAATGAGCCAGTTCCATTTCTTTCAAATCATGAGCTTCTTTGGCTTTCTGCCCTGAAAAAACAAAACTTGCGAAGTTTACGGCAAATTATAGTAAAACAATAACTATTTTAAGGAATAAGGGGGTAAACGCTAAATCTGGTTGGACTTAAAATTACAAACATTCTTCGTTGCTTTTTGAAAGCTTCGTTTCTTCTGAAGTCAAAAACAGTTCCAGATTTTTTAACGTCTGAATCTTCAGAGCCAGATATTCTTTATCGTCCACGCTTAGCAATGTCATATACATATTTCTTGTTTCAGTTTTCAGTAAGCAATCCGGATGTGCGGCAGCAAAATTGCCTTAAACTTATTTTGCTCATTGACAAAATCCCGAACTCATCAGCAAAACCATAAAACAAATAAAGAAAACCATGTAACCAAAGCGACTCAGAAACCTCTTTAGAAAAATATTCTGGAAAACAATTTTTACCAAGAGCAGTCAAAGCTTTCATTCGAATTGCTCCATCTCTGTTCCGACAAAATAAAGAAAGGACTCGAAAAACATCATCAGTAAAAGGGGAAGCTTTTTTTCCCTCTTCCACCGTGGAAAGGTTACTTTCTGAACCACTTTTTTCGTTTTCTTTTCGAGCAAACCGACTAAGATTCTTCCGCGCTTCCTCATCATTTTCCAAGATTTCATCGAGGTTAAAATAACGAGACATAAGTCCAATCGTGTATAAAGTCCTGAAAACCATGAAAACCCAGATTTTTACACCTCAAAGACTAGAAGACAAGAGGAAAAATGGTGAAGCTACTACATTATTTTTAACGGAAGTAACCTTTGCACAAACGGCCATTTCGCCTGAGGAACCTGATAACCGGACTTATGTTCTATATCATCCTTAACTTGATTTAAAAATCCTAAAAAAAAGCGTGAAAGCTCGCGCTCAACAATTTGGTAATAACGTTCTTCCCAACACGATATAAACGAGATTATAATAGCTGAAAAACTTACTTAAATAGCTTAAAAAACAATCAATAGCAGCCGGCCGCCTTTTCTTCCACTTGTTATGAATAGCAGCTATACATGACAGTGCAGAAGCAATAATTCTCATACCACTGTCTTTCACCAAACTCGTCAGGCTAAGATCCAATGAGGTTAGGAAAGAATCAGGAGGATGGTCAAACAAGGGCACAACTCTTTCCAGCATATTAATGACCTGCAAATAAACAAATAAATTTATGAAGTGAATAAGAACAAGTCAAGGAATTATTAATAAGATGCTGGAAAACATGAAAACTCATTCACCTGATATAATACTTGTTGTTCTGCAGTACCAGAAACATTCATTGACAGATAAGGCTGTAAAGTTTCTGCGTGATTCACTAGCAACTCTGGCCGCACTTTGCTGAATGCGGAAAGCGTAGTGAGACAAGCAAGCAGTCTTTCTTGGTGCTCCTTATGGCTCGCTGCAGCACTTAAATTTGAACTTTCGCTTTCTACATTACCTGCCCGACTTTCGTCTGCAAAAAAATTCAATTACCATTAGCCTTTCCCGTCTATAAAATTAAGAGGCAAAAGAACAGACCAAAGGTCAAAGAATTCATGAGCAGATACCCTTCTACAAAATTACACCAGGTGGCTTTTTGCACAATAAACTGTTAATCACAGAAAAATATTTGAAATTCGTAATGTGCAACTTTCGAAAATTAATTTAAAATCAAAAACAATCAGTCCCCTGAGTTTTTAAAAGCAATCCCAATAAGTTTAGCGCACCAGCTACAATTTTTGAATCCAGAGACAATACGCTATCAACCAAGGTGTCCACTATTTGCTTTGATGCATAAAGAATCGACCGGTCTCCACCCTTTAGCAACGAACTGAGCAACTGCTCAAAAAACTCGACTGTATTATCTTTCATACATTTCTGAACCATGTCAGTGATAATCATGACCTAAAGAAAACAGTGTTTGGTGGACTGTCAAAGTTAGATTTAATGGTCTTCATTTTAAAAACGAAGAAAAAAGTGTATGGCCAAGTATTCGAATAAAATT